GGCCGTGGGGGGCCCACCTCAGGGTCTGGGTGCTTGCTAGGGGCTGCTGGGGGGCCTGAGGGAGAAGGGTTCCCGGGGTGGGCCCTGCCGGAGGCGGAGGGTGGGGACATTGAAACACATGCTGGGCTCTGTCTGGATGGCCTCGGGTGACTTTCACAGCGGTGCCACCGCAGGTGCGGCCTGCGCCCCGGGGCCGGGGAGATTCTTGGTGAAGCCTTTGCTTCCAGAGGGGCCACTGAGACGATGGACACTCTCTGGAGACAGCCGGGGGATTCCTGGCGCGAGAGGCCAGCAGGGGGCCACCTCCCGCTCTGCTGTTGTCCCTCGGGGACAGCTGGGCCGTGCCACCCGCCACACCCTGCCTGTGCGGGGCTCCGTCCCTCCGTCCGTCTGAGCCCTCCTCTCGCTGCCTCCAGGGGACCGGGAGCAGCCAGGTGCCGCAGAGCAAGTACGCGGAGCTGCTGGCTATCATCGAGGAGCTGGGCAAGGAGATCCGGCCCACCTACGCGGGCAGCAAGAGCGCCATGGAGAGGCTAAAGCGAGGTGCGTGCGGCGGGCCCGGGCACCGGCCGGCAGGGAATTTGTTGGGGGGTGAGGGGGTCCCTGAGCCGCGGGAGCTCCCGGCTCCTTCGAGCTGCCGTGAGATGGGGAGGCGTCGGGCAGGCGAGAGCGGCTCTGGGCCGAGCACCTGCGATCTGACGGGAAGGGGCGTGGTGGCCGCTTGTCTTCAGATGGGGCGTCTAAGGGGCAGCTCCAGCCAGGGGCCTCGCTGGCCCAGCGGCCGCCCCGGGCTCGGGCGGGAGAGCAGGGATGCCTGGAGGTTCTTTCATGGTGGGAGAGGGTGATGTCACAGGGAGAAGGTGACTCGGGAAGATGTGACCCACCAGGTGACGTCAGAAGCCGGGAAGCCGTCGCTGCCTCGTGAATGAAGGGGAGGGAGGAGGCGTTTCTATTTCAGAAGGTGGTGGTTCAGAGCCCAGTGGCCTGGGTGCGAGGTTAACTCCGGGAGGGATTTGGGGTTCTTAGAACGGTTGGAGAGCAGCCTTGGAGGACGAGGAGAGGAACAGTCTGGGGTATGTTCCGAGGCACCCACGGGGGCTGCTGTGAGGGCCGTGACCCGCGGCGACGGGCGGGCTGGCTGAGGACCGGCTCCTAGGAGCTGCGGCCTCCCTGCCGTCTGGGGGGAACCTCGTGAAGACCGACTGCGGACTGGGTTGGGTAATAACGGGCATGGGCTTGGGGACGGAGACTGGACTTAGAGGTTGGACTGAAGAGGGCTTGGGGGGGGCTTAACCCTAATCCAGCCTGAGGCCCGGGTGGGCATCACTGTGTCGTCCAGGGCGCTACTGGAGTCAGTCAGGCAGCAAGGCCGTCCTGGGGACCGGCGCGGCGGCTGGCGGTGCTGGACCCCCAAGTCTGGCAGGCAGTCTGGGGTCTCCCAAAACGGCCGCTGTGAAGTCAGCACGTGGTTGCACCCAGTGACCGCTGGGCACAGCCTGGGCGAGCGGCCTGTCCTGCCCCATGACCAGGCTCATGTTTCAGCAGGACGGCCGGGTCACAGCGGGCACGGGGAGTCAGGCGCAGTGTCGTCGGGGCGGCCGGGACACTTTCTATGTATATATTTTAATCGTCACCTGAGGCTATGTTTTCGCTGACTTTTAGAGAGAGAGGAAGGGAGAGAGAGAAACACTGATCGGTTGCCTCCCGTACCTGCCCCGACTGGGGATCGAACAGGATGACACTCCAACCGAGCCACCGGTCAGGGCTGTTTTTTATAATTAAAAAAAAAATCTTTATTGATTTCAGAGAGAGGAAGGGAGAGGGGGAGAGAGATAAACATCAATGATGAGAGTCACTGACCGGCTGCCTCCTGCACGCCCACCGGGGATCGAGCTCGCAACCCGGGCCTGTGCCCCGACCTCGAATTGAACCGCGATCTCCTGGATCCTAGGTCGGTGCTCAACCGCTGAGCCACGCCAGCTGGGCTGTTTTTTTATAATTTTTAATGGTAAGATATTATGATTTTGTGACACGTGTAAGTTATGTGGCATTCAGACTTGTGTGTCCACAAATAAAGATTTACCGGAGCACGGACACCCGTTGTTTACGTAACACCTGCTTTCACGAAACAGCGCAGTCGAGCGGTCGTGACAGGGCCTCTGACCCTGAGAAGCCTGAACGGGCGGGCCTTGCCCTTCCCAGGAACCGCCTTCCGAAGCTGAGAGATGGGATGTGTGAGGGGTGAGGGCCTAGGGGGGGTGTCGTTCCCGCTGCCCTCTGGGAGTCTGTCTCTGAGAAGGAACAGATCTTTGGTGTCTGGGTCAAAACTTCATGAAGTTCAGTAGAAGCAAAAAATAAACCATAGAGAGAAAAGACGTGGAGGGAAACAAACAGGAAGGAAGGAGATGGCTCGGGTACCCCAGGGAAGCCCCTCAGGCAGACCAGGTTGAATGTGTTAGAGCGTCCACCCGTGAGCTGAAGGGTTGCAGGTTCAATTCTGATCAAGAGCACGGGGGG